GGGCTCGCTCTCCCCCAGCCTGTGCTGGCTCCAGTGCCCCCGGGTGGCAGGAGGAGGTGCCATGCTGCAGGCAGACAGAAGGACCCGTTGCGTGCAGCTGTTTTCCCCACCGCCCCACCCCAGAGGTGGCTGCATCTCACCAGCATTTTTCCAGGGGGCAGGGAGAGGGATCTTGCGCTGAATTAATTTTCCCTCGAGGCGGCCTCTGAGCCCAGGAGCTTGCTCCAGAGGTTGGCGGCTCTGGGCATGAGTCGAATGACCCCTTTGTGAACTTCCTCTCTCCAGTTGATCGTGCCAACCTGCGCCCTTCCGCCGCCGCCTCCTCCTCTGCCCAGCAAGAGGTGGCCACCAAGATCAAGCAGACGCACAGCCTGACCGTGCTGCTGAAGCGCTGCTCGGAACAGCTGCTGGCAGAATATGTGAGCATGGAGGGGTGGGCCGGGGGGGGAATCGGACTCCTCTCTGTGTGTGTCTTGCTGTCCCCTCGAGCCCACTTGCCTACACATTTTTGTCTATTGCCTGGCTTCAGTCCTAGGGGAAACCCCCTCCGTCTGTTCCCCTGTTGACTCTTGAACCTAATGGTGGGCCTTCAAGCATGAAATGTGTCATGGATTTCACTGCCGCTCTTACAGCTCAGCGCTTCAGGCAGTTCTCTGGGATCCCAGGCCATGCCCACCGCCCCTGCTGTAACCACTAGACGCTGCTCCCTTCCCAGAGCTGGGGGTAGAACCCCGGAGTCCTGACGGAGTCTCTCTCCATTCCAGGTGCGCCACCAGGGGGAGCCTTTCAGCAGTGCCAATTTTCAGCCCCCTGCAATGACAGTGCCTGGCCTGCCCTCGCCCCCCGTCTCCCTGGAGGCCTGGCTGGCACTGAGTGACGGGGAGCGACTGTGTACGCCGCCCTGCCCGGACTCCTGGGTGCCGTGCAGCAGCAGCAGGACGACCTCAACCCTCTGGCTTCGGAGCTGCACCGGCAGCTGGATGGGGCGGCTCGTCAGTGCCGGGGGCTGGCTGTGAACCTGGAGGGGCTCATGGGCGCCTTGGGGGTGCCTGGCCCCCCCTCTCCTGCCCCCAACCTGGGCTCTCCCCCCCCCAACGCCTTCCTGGCT